CTTCTAAAGTTTCTAACAACATAGGATTAGCATCATTATCTAGCTAGTAAAAGCTAAACCAATAGGATTCTCACTTCTACCTTGATTTTTGCCATGGCTTTTCAATGGGATTACCCATCATCTTATGTTACAGGAATGAAGAATAAGCAAGATGTCAAGATCAAAAGATCCTGTACCATATGTTCTGTGTCAGGAAAGCCCAGTCTTAGTATCCCTCAGAGCATCTCTGGCTCTCTGAAGGGATGTTGTGAATGATAAACTTTCAAAATAAATGTATCACCATAGTAATATGAGCCAGATGTTATAGCAGGCTCTTGACATACATTTATCTTATTTAATCCTTACAATACTACTGAGGGGTAAGCGACACGATCACTGTTTGGGGAGGAATCTGAGGTGCCAAGAAATTAAGTGACTTGCCCAAAGTCACACTGCTTATAAATGGCAAAACTAGGTTTTGAACCAACAGAGCCGAAGAGTGGTGGTATTGAGCATGGCATGTGTGTGCGAAGAGGACAGCAAAAGGAGACCGAATAGACTCCTTTTTTTTTTTTTTTTTTTTTTTAATTGACTACCATTTAACACTTAACGTGGCAAGTCTGAACTTCAGAACCCCAGCGCTTAATCCTCTGTGCTACACTCTGTAAATGTAAAAGTAGAGTATGATAGCTTAACACAAATTTTAGGACATAACAGATCTAAGTTTGAATCCCAGGTCTGACACTTGGATGATTTTTGCCAAATTGCTTTACCTCTCTGAACATTAGTTTTCCATCTAGAAAATGGGGATAATTCCTACCTCAATAGAATCAAGTGAGAATATGTTTCTAAAGGGATTAGAGAGAGGTACAAACGACATATCCATTGATTATCACACCCTTGAGAGGCTAGCTCTGCCCACTACCACACATATTTCCATTCTCTGAGCCAAGCAATTACCTGTTGCTTTTTGATGATTATGTGTTATTTTCCATTTTAAGTTACTGTTTTGAGTTGGTCATGTTTTCCCAACAAAAAATGAAAGCTCCATTATGGCAGGAATCCTTATCTCTTTGATAACACTATACATAATATCAGACATTCATTCCTTCACTTATACATTTACATTCATTCCTTCATTAAACTAATAGTCTCTGAGCTCCTATAACGTGCCAGACATTGTGACAGGCACTAGACATAGAGCAATAAGCAAAATGTACACCACCTCTGCCCTCAAGGGACTTGGGGTACAGTGGGAAACAGCCCAATCCAGCCGTGATTGTATCGTTAGAAACTGAAAACAATCTTGAGGAAATACAAAAACCCAACCCATTACCATTGAGTCAATTCCGACTCATAGCTAGCAACCCTATAGGATAGAGTAGAACTGACCCATGGGGTTCCCAAGGCTGTAAATCTTTACAGAAGCAGACTTCCACATCTTTCTCCTGTGGAGTGGCTGGTGGGTTCGAACCACCAACCTTTTGGTTAGCAGCTGAGTGCTTAACCACCGCACCACCAGGGCTGCTTGAAGAAACAGGACTAGGCTTTTGAGGATCTAATTTAGACTGGGAAAGAGGGTTGGGGAAGGTATCTTTGAGGACTGAACACTAAGTTGAATCCACAAGGATAAATAAGAACAAGCCAGGGAAAGAATGAGGGGAGAGCATTCTAGACAGAGGGCACAGCCTGTGTCAAGGGCCTGATTGACTAAGAGCACTCCGTAGGCCGGCACACGTGACCCAGCCATGTGAAGAGGAGACCCGTGAGAGATGAGGATGGAGAAGCAGGGGGAGCCAGATCACACAGGCCATGTGGAGGAGTTTAGATTGTATCCAAGTGCAGTGGGAAGCTTTTGAACAGAAGAGTGACAAGCAGTAGGTGTGCAGTGCCAGGAGCTATCCTGAGTTTATTATGTAAGTAGGGAAAAAAGAACTCCAAGCACTTGAAAAGTAAAACTAGTACAGCCTCAAAGTTCATTCTTGTTTCCACTGCTTGCCACAGAGCTTACAATATCTTATTTTTCCATGCAAAGTTAGTAAGACTTTGGACTCAAACCTAAAATCCAATGCTGGCCTTACATACAATTTTTTATGTTTGTTCAAAGCTGTAAGATTTCCCATCCTACTCCCCCTACCCCGCACCTGCTTCATATATGACAAACTAAATTAGAGGGTCAATATTTCAGATGCTGTGGTTTATGATATTTCTACCAGAAAATTCGATCTTACGGTTCTTTTCTCCTTACCTGCTTCATAGGACGGAGGGAACCGATTGTTTTCCATCCACTGAATGCTGTCCAATTTGGAATCTCACTAGGCTCCAGAAGGATTTGTCTTCCTAAGAAATTGGATCCTTCATAAGCTATCCACCTATATGAGAGCAGGAAAGAAAAAATGTGGTACTTCAAAACAAAAAAGCAACTGCTTATCAAAGATACCAGCTATTTTACCACACAGGGCTCATTCTTTAAAAGATGTCCAGGTTTGCAGATTTAAAAAAAAGAATTATATATATTCTAACAGAACAAGCAGGAGGCCTAGGAGAAAGCTTACTGGAGTCAGAAGATCTAGATTTCAGTTAGGACTCTGGCTTCTCACCTCCAAAATGAACGCACACAGCCCTGGGACCCCAAAGATCCCCCCAGCTCTAAAATTCTGCGTTCCTTTGATAATGCTATCTTTTTTCATAGCAACTTAACATCTGAAGACAGATCATTACCACCGCCCCCTCCCCCAACTATTACCTGGTAAAACTGAGGCTCATTGTCACATGTCCTTCAGGGCTTCTTGGGGTGACTCCAGCTATCTCCCCAGACACATCTCCTACAGCTCCTCTACAACGTGCCACCGAGGACTACTTACCATTATCCACAGAAGTCCCCTGTCCCACTCCTACTTCAAGGCCTACAAACCCTTTGCAAACCCTTTCCTGATATCCTGCTTTCAGCTCAGGCAGGGTTAAGTGTGTGAAGTGCGTAGGGCCTCAAGGTGGGTGTCTGGGGGTTCAAGACTTACATCCGTCCTTCTGGCACATTGTACGGCCAGTGTGGCACTTAGCACACTGTGTTATGACTACTAGAGGCATGCCCTTCTCTCCTGTCAAGACGTGAGGTCTATGAAGCCAGGATGATAGGACAGCATCTCATTCAACCTGAGGGACTTACATGGTCCTGGCAATATATGCTTGCTGAATAAAGCAGTCTGTTACAGTCATGTGTAAAATCTCTGTGTACTCAGTACTATGAGACATTTTTATTAAACAGCCTGTCTTTAGAAGTAGTTTATAGGTAAAAACACAAATTCCATTCTACACCAGGTTTCTTCTATTCTGAAAAACATATTTTTATCTTGGGAAAGAAGCTTAACAAAGAGGCCTAAGGTATGGTATGCCGTTACTCAGAAATTTCATCATTTAAAAGGAAGGACAGGCTCTCTGGAGATTTCTGTGTTTGCAGCATGGTAGGGGAACCATTAGAGAGAAGGCTTTTGATCCCAGCTTCATGGTTCCTGTGAGAGGACCTTTTCCACAGATATACTAAGCAGCCACCAAACATCCTCTCTAGTCTTTTTGATCTCAAATAAGAGCCAATTATAAATCTGGCAGGAGTTAGAGGGCTTTATCAAGCAGAAGCCAGAGAGAAATTTTAAATAGCTGTGAGGGACAGTACAACTTCAGAGAAAGCCTCTTGTAGGCTTGACGTTTTTCCAAGAAGGTTCTCTCATAGCTATTTCTTTAGGTCAGGGTGTCAGTAAATTACAAACCATGGGCCACATCCAGCCACCACCTGGTTTTGCAAATAAAGTTTTACTGGACCACAGCCATGTCCATTCCTTTACAGATCGTTCACGGCTGCTTTTGCTCTACTGTGGCAAACTGCAAGAGACAGTAAGGCCCACGAACAGAAAATATTTACTACCTGGCCCTGTAGAGAAAAAGTCTGCAGAGCTCTGCTTTAGGTGGTTACCAAGCTAAACCACTAACTAAGGACAATATGCTGGGATCACCAAGAGGACCTGAAATTCTCAGCAGGACTCAAGGTTACCCCAAACAGTGCTTTAAGGATTATGTGTGGAGACCAGGCGGCTGCCTTTCACAGTTCAGACAAAGCACCTAGAACTGCAGATTGGGTTGTCCTGCCTTGGAGCAATGAGTCCCTGGGTGGTACAAATGGTTAACATACTCAACTACTAACTGAAAGTTTCAAGTTTCGAGTCCACCCACAGGCATCTCAGAAGAAAGGCTTAACAACCTACTTCTGAAAAATCAGTGAAGCACAGTTCTACTCTGATACACATGGAGTGTCACCATGCATTGGAGCTGACTTGGTGGCCATTGGTAACTGGCCTCGGATCAAGAAATGTATAACTTTGGAGATAAGATGCAGAGCACCATCAGCAGGAAAGGCAGTCCACCGGTCAAATGGAAGGTCGTCAGGAACAGGTTCATCCTGAATCTACAGCACAAGCTACAAAGGGTTTGCTGCTATTGGCAGTGACTTCAGTCCCCCAGTTTCTCAGATGAAAACTTCTAAAACTTACAAAGAGCAAACTTAGAAAGGGCAATATCCCTTAGGGACTTGTACCTCGGTTAATGCAGTAAAAGGCATCAACTTCTGCATAAAGTTGTGGAGGGAAGGGAGAAATCAAGGAAGGCTTAAATGCTTGGGCTTTTAATGAATGGATGTGATACAACTATGAAAGCTCAGGGAGAGGTTACTGATCTAAACTAACCACTACTAGAAAAAGTTCACCCTGCCAACCATAACAAAGACCAGGCTTAGCCAAATTATTAAGAGATGAACAAGATGGATGACCCTCCCTCCACTCCTTCTTGCATATAAAAATCTAAACTATCACAGCAGCACAGAGGCAGGTCAGCACCACCGAGAGCCTTATCCACCTTTCCATCTTTGTAGAGTCATTAAACAGGCTGGAAGTCTTAGTTATAAAACCTACATAAGATTTTAAGGAACCATGCCTAATTATATATTGATCTAAATGAATTCCACAGCTGGAAAAGCTGTGTGAGATGGTGCATTATGTCATGCCCCTCATCACCACCACAGATCAAAGATGTGGGATAATGAGGGGATTAAAACAAAACACCTTGTCACTGAGGGCAGCTCGCTGTGCATTAAGTATTATTTTATGATGCATCTGTAGCCTAGGAGAATCTTCAGACAGCCTCCACTGTTTCTTACTCTGTGTACCAATTCTCTTATAGAGAATCTAGAAGAGCGAGAGTAGGAGGATAATAAGCCCAAGAGAAGAAATAGGAATGTCAACATAAAATGGCACCAGTTTTTCAGAAAAAGAGTGAATAAGTAGGTGAGAAAGTCTCAGAGATGAGTCAATAAATATCAATTTCACTTAAGAATGTGAAGAAAATGAATGTATAAAGATGTCTTGAAAGTTCTATATCACAGGAACATACAATTTAGTTCAAACAAAAAATTCAGGTATATGGTAAGTAAGAAACCAGAATCTTATTGCTTAGAGTAAATCAATTTACTGTTTAGTAAACACCAAACTATGTGAAATGCTATGCAGGAGAACATTTATACTGCTATATATGTGAATAATACAAAAGCCATTTACTGAAATAGTTGACTTAATTTTCCAATCAATTGATATTCCTGGCTTTCTCTTTCATTATTCTGAGACACCTAAATAAGCAAAGAGTTGGTTATCACACAATTTAAAAGCCATAAGAAGTAGAAGTCGTATTTATATTAAAAATGGAAAGCCATGTGTATTCTTTTTGAGTTGACTTTTGGTACTAAAACACCAATGGGTCAGGAGCAGGGGAGGGGCAGGCTTACACACCGACCTCTGTAGAACTGACCCAAGAGGCAGGTTTTCCACAAAGCAAACAGAGCTTCAACTTCAGGGCCCCTCACTTGCAGGCTGCTTACCACTCTTATTCTAAATAAATACGCAAGTTTATACCTAATTTTTGTATCTAACTATAGTTCGTGCTTGACTACTAACCTGAAAGTCAGCAGTTCAAACCTACTCAGTGGTGCACCAGAAAAGACCTGGTGATCTGCTTCTGGAAAGATTACAGCCAAGAAACCTGTTGTAACAGTTCTACTCTGTAACATATGGGATTGCCATGGTTTGGAATCCACTCAACTGCAACGGGTTTTTCTTAATAGAGCGTTCCCCAAATTGTAAAAGTGAAGGCCCCACATAACCAGGTCCCACCTCGATTGACCCCCACTGCCGCTGAGTTGATTCCAACTCATAGTGACCCCACAGGACACAGCAGAACTCCGCCACAGAATTTCCAAGACTGTAATCTTTACAGAAGCAGACTGCCACATCTTTCTCCTGTGGAGTGGCTGGTGGGTTTCAACCACCGACCTTTCAGTTAGCAGCCAAGTGTTTAACCATTGCACCACCCGGGCTCTCCCTGATTGACAGATATCCTAAATGAAATAGCAACACTGCTAGGCAGGCTAGGTCAAGCACAGTGTGAAAATGAGTACTGGAGGAAATAGCCCTTGAAAAATCATGTCAAATCAATACGACAGAATACTCTTAGTCTTATAAAACAGTCACTTGCCTTAAGTATGTAATGGTCTTAACTTTCAAAGTTGCTGATTTAATCAGGTTTCTCCTGAAAGAAAAGTAGGCTTAACCGGTTAAGGTCACCTGGTCAACCTACTCTAAAACCTGTGCTCTGACCACATGGCCGACCTTCTCTCCTAAGGGCTCTTCCCCCGGACCACAGCATACTGTTACACACTGGACACAGCCCACAGTCTTCTCTTATCCAACTGTAACTGCAGTTACTACACTGAGAGACTAAAGGAGTAACAGCACCAGCAGACCAAAACCAATGGCAGTTAAGGGATAGAAAACAACCGTGTGCTCTGGCCTAAACCAGTGACCTAACTAGGCCAGGCCTTTCTCCCATACTTACAGTCCACTTTTCACCCACACGGACTGGGTGTAGAAGTGCAGGTCCTTATTCAGAACAGAGTTCACAGCCTCTTCCAGATGTAGCTCTCTTCCCTCACAATGTTCCAGAGCAAAAAGGCTGATGGAAGGTTCTTCAAAAGCCTGACACGTAAAAGAAAAAAACCCAGAGACAGCATTACCGCATGGGGTAACCACAGCTCAGTAACATCCCAGGCAGAATTCAGGGCTGCCTGAAGCCACTGTATTCTCACACTGGTAGAGTTTACTGCTCTACCCTCTGAAGACTTTACAGTCAAAACTGCACTGATGAGAATGGATTCAATTAATAATTTTTGTTCACCATTTTTTGTAAAGTAAAATTGATGTTACCAGAATAGCAATCTTAATCCCGTAATAAAATGGACACATAGGGCACCTGATTCCAAGCTGCGTATTAAAGTCTGGCTGTGCTGTGAGACAGACCACACTGGTTCTGCCAGTGCTTTTAGCTGGCAGCAGAAAACACAGAATGGAATGGAACCCTCATTTCCCAAGGGGAGTCACAGAAGGAGTCACTGGGAACTTAAAAATTTATGACTCTACGCTCTTAAAAACATTCCTGGGGGGAGAAAAAGGCGTCTCTAATTTAAAAAAAAAAGCTAGAATGCACAGAGAGAGGGGTGATTTCTGCAGTCAAAGGAAGGCCTCCCCTGCCCCTTATGTCAGACAGGAATACACTCAATATCGCTCTTCTTCATTCATTAGTATATGCAAGACACCATGCGAAAAGACATAAGGGGGATGAAATTCAAAGCAAGGCATCACCCATGTGTACGGGACATTACTAACTAGCAGCTGAGTTAGGAAAATCATGCAGATATTGTAATATAATCCAAGGAGGAAAAAGATAGTGACTGTGAGAGTACTCAGTGCAAAGTTAGATTATCTTAGCAGAGCAGGGCAGGAATCGTGGAAGCTTCGTGGATGCAGTGGCATGTGAGCTCAGTCTCAAAGGATGCAGTATGTTTAGACTGGCAGAGACAGAACAGAGAGGGAAGGCCCTCTGTGCAAAAGAAGGGACACAGAAATGCAGGGGACACGTTAAGGGAATGGCAAGCAGACCCATGTAGCTGGAATCCAAAGCTCAATAGCAAACATTGTCAAGTGCTCACACTGCTACTGTTTATTGAGTTGTCCGCTACCCTCCTACACACTGACAGGGCAGAGACCAAATACTGCCAATGGCAAGTCTCTGAAGGCTTTCTTTTAACTGGGGACTAAGATTTGGCTGAAGTATCTATAACTTTGTATATGAGATGCACAGTACTAGCAGCAGGCATCGTGGATGGTCAACGAACAGTAAATAAACAGTCAAAAAACAACTGACTATCATAACTGACCCTGAAGATCTAATTACATCGGGGCAAAATGTTTTGCAAAAGAGTTACTCCTTGCAGCAGTGTTTCAAATAGTGAAGGGTGGGGAGTGATTTAAATGACCATCATGAAAAACCAAATACCAAACTCATTGCCATCAAGTGGATTCCGACTCAAAGTGCCCCCTGTAAGACAGAGTAGAACTGCCTCATCAGGTTTCCCAGTCTGTAGTCTTTATGGAAGCAGACTGCCACATCTTTCTCCTGCAGGGCAGCTGGTGAACCCCCAGCCTTTGGGTTAACAGCCAAGTGCTTAACCACTATGCCACCAGGGCTTCCTTCCATCATGACTGGTTAAATATATGGTACATTCTTACAGAGAAATCCTATACAGTTATAAAGAATGAGAAGATCTTTATGGATTTTCAAGGTAAACTCTTCAGTGACAAATACAAGGTGAAGAATAGTGCAAAGTGTATATTTCCTATGCTACCATTTCTGCAGAAATGAAGGGAAATCGTATGCACATAATATAGACACACACACATCTATGAATTATTAAAAAATCTGAAAAGATATAAAACTAGTAACCATGGTTACCTGTCAGGAGGATAGGAGCATGAATGCGAGCAGTTTTTCACTGAATTCCTTTTGGCACTTTTTGATTTTTGAACCATGAGAATATATTATTTATTTATACATTTAAACTGGTAGTTACTATGCATGCGTGTGTGTGTGTGTGGGTGTGTGTGTGTTTAACTGGCCTTCAGGAAATTTATCTGGCAATGAAATGGAGAACAGACAGAATGGAAGTAAAGGGACCAGTATATTGGTAGAATATTGCACGCCAAAGAAAAAGAGAACCAGACCTAAAATGGTGGTGGGGGAGGGAAGCAACAACGACCAGTGAATATACCATGACCAGGAAAACCATCACAGTGATAGAACAGACATAAGGCAAATGACTGCAAAGAGGAAGTGAGGAAAAAGATGTGAAGAAACATGGTTAGGAGCATAGTGTATAATTAAATGTGTCATACATAAGGAAATCAAGAGGAAAAATACGCCCAGGAGCTAAGGACTTATATTTTGATTGGATATTTTACTGTTTGAGATAGAGGTGGGATAATCTTGGAGAAGTCCAGCATACACCAGGCATTCTGATCTGGAGTTCAGGAGAAAGGTCAAGTGTAGAGATAAAGAGCTTGGGGACTCTCAGAATATGGGCAATAACTGGAGCTGGGGGTGAGAAAATGGCAGGAAGTGTAAGGAGGCCAGAAATGCACAGACTTACAAGGGTGGGTAGTGATGAAAGCTGGGCCTGTAGAGGTGGCTGAAAACATGAACCTGGAGAGAAAACATTACAGAAGTAAAGGGGAAAGAAAATTATAAGGAAGAGTTGTCCCATAGTATCAAATACTTTCGTGATGCTGAGGAAAAGCGCGACTGTGACGAGGCTGTTGGGTCTGGTAGTCAGGAAGCAGCTGGTGACCACGAAGAGAACTGCTTCAGTGGCGAGTCGGAGATGACAGGTGGACTCGATTGTGAGGGCCGAAAAGTAAGTGGTGACGCAACTGCAGACAGGGTGTGCAGGCTACTTTTTAGAGATGTTTGGTGAAGAGGAGGGAAGTGGGTAGTGGCCTATGAGGTAATCAGAGTAGAAGAAGCATGTTTTCAGGCACAGTGGAAGGCAGTAGTGGGAGAGAAAGAAGCCGAGGATGTAAGACAAGAGGGATGCTTCTAGGAAAGGAGCAAGAAGTCCAGTTCTCACTGCTTCCCACCAGTTCAGAAACTCTGGGTGGAATCAGTCCATGAAGAAAAGGATTGTTTTGGAAAGGATGAACTATGCATCCTCTGAAATAAGAGAAAAAATAAAAAGGATACTGAGAAATTTCCAGGCATAACACAGGAAAATGTGCAATTCTCCCTTTATATTATGTGGCCAATGTTACCTGCTGATCAGAGGAGGTCATGAAGTGATGTCCAATAGAACATTCTGCAGTGATGGAAATGCTCTATATAGCTGCACTCTTCACTACAGTGGGCACTAGCCACATATGACTATTGAGAACATGAAATGTGGCTGGTGTGGCTGAGGGACTGGATTAATATTTAATTTTGATTTATTTAAAGTTAAATAACCCTATGTGGCTTGATCTAGCAATTCTACACCTAGGAATTTATCTTAATGAAACAATGAAAAGTTTGATACAGGCGACCACAAACATTACTTAAACTTCTATTTATTAAAAAAATAATAATAAGGCAGGGAGATAGAAAAAAATTGTAGAAAATGACTGAGATAGCTTTAAGATTTTAAGAGTTTACACAAATCAGTAAGAATAGTCTAAGAGACTGAATGGATAAATGGGCAAAGGACATATACCATTAGCATTAGCCAAAGAAGAAATATGATTAATAAACCAATGTGGAAAAATAATCTCTCTCTCCATTAACAACAACAAAAGGTCCATCATATGGTCCAACCTATAAAACTTTTCATTTGGAACATCTATTGTTTCTAAGCTTAAAGTCATTCGCCTTCTAGAGGTATGGTATATATTTAACTTTGTTTTTCTATTTTTAAATGGTTTTAATTTAAATGATTTAAATCCATAAATATACTTAAGTTTATAAACCCACATGATGTATAAATACACTTAAATGTTAGGCAGATTCAGAAAATCAACAGTGTATATATCTGGGCAGGATGGGGAGGGGTGGTTAATAGCTAATCATTCAGAAATCAAGAGTCCTGAAGAACTATTTTAAAATCCTATTTTCTGACACATTTTCCAAACACGAAAGTAGGAAGAGACAAACTATTAATAGTCTTCAAAACCAAACATGACACAGTAATCTGAACTTTCCAAGGACAATAGAAGCTACCAGAATTTAATTGCGATTTGAGCTCTACAAATGTATTGGCATCAGTCCATGTTAACTTAGACGGCAGCCAATCACTTGGGGCCAAAAGTTCTTCTTAGGTGTTATCAGCAGCAGGACATTCCTGTGAGGTCAATTCTAAGCCACGCAAAGAGGATACAGTTTCTAACAGCAGGATGTGGTTAAGTAAGAAAAAGAATACCCAAATAAACTGTATAAATGAAACTTTCAATTACAACCAAACCCCCTCCCCAAACCTCCATTACTCTTCCTCATACCATCAACTAAAATAATATTTTAAATGACAACAACACACACAGCAATTAATAAGTGCCAGGCATTGCTCTAAGTGCTTCAAATATCCACTGTTTCACATTCCTTTACCCATAGTTCCAAAATCTGAAAAGCTCTGAAAACCAGAAAAACTGTTTTTTCATAATTCATCCAGTAAAAAAAACCTGACCTGAATAAATGGAACACTGTTTATAATAGTTACCGAACTTTCTATGATTATGCATAGATTCCACTAGAGGAACAGGAACATGTCTAATTAGGGGGTGCTGCCCAGAACTCTGCTGGGGTGTTTTTTTTAATACACAGTATACAAACCATACTACTGGTTTTTTACGTTTAAAAAATCCCAGATCCCCAAACATATTTGGATTAAGGACTGTGGACTGTGGAACTGTATTCACTTGTTTAATCCTTACTACTTCCCTCTGATGTAAGTACTATTGTTATCCCCACTTCACAAATGAAGAACCAACGCACAGGTCACAAACAGTAAGTGGAAGAAAAATCCAGGCACTGTGGCTTCAGAAGCTGTGTTCTTAAACACTACACTGGGGCTCTAAAATGTTCCAACCACCAAATTTTATACACAGAATATTTATTTCTGATT